GCCGTTCAAATGGCTTTGCAGTCTGGCACATTAACCCACAGCACCACACCAGGAGTGAGGAGACTGATTATTTGTGATTGGCAATAACTGTTGTGGTTGTTATGTGCTGTGGATTCAGTTCTGACTCATAGATAGGACCCTGCACAAGGTTTCCGAGGCTGTAAATCTTCACTGGAGCAGAAAGTCTCATCTTTCTCTTGTGAAATGGCTGGCAGTTTCAAACTGCCAACCTTGAGGTTAACAGCTCGATTCATAACCATTACATGACCAGAGCTCCTTGGGTAGTGACTGGAGGGGCTGAGAGGGGGTTTTCTGGGTCTTGATGTGGCTGCTTGTAATAGGGATGTGAGTTCTATGGAAAGTCTTTCAGGCTCTATCCTTATGATTTGTACACTTACCTTTCACACTTCAAGAACAGGGTGTAAACATAAGCACAGGGCAGTTCTACCCTTTTTTTCTTAATCATTTTATTGCGGATGGGTGGATGTGTGTATGTGTTATATAAAAGAGCCAAAGATAACCCCAGGTGGTTTATTTCTTCATAACAGACTAGAAACATTCGCCCTAAAAGCCCTCTGGCTCCAAACTCAACTTTGCACATAGCCAATTGTTTTAAAAATCACTCTGATAAGCAGATTTTGAGCTATTTAGAGCCTGCCTGCTCTACATCCCTGTGAAACTACACCCAACATCTGCTAAACTAAAAAAAAAAGAACAAAAAAATTACCAAACCCATTGCCCCCGAGTTGATTCTGACTCACAGTGACCCTCTGTAGACTTTCCAAGATCATGAATCTTGACTGGAGCCAGACAGCTTCATCTTTCCCCCATGGAAATGCTAGGGGGTTTAAACCACAACCTTGTGGTTAGCAGTCCAGTGCCTAACCCACAGCACCACTAGGGCTCTTTAACATCTAACAGACTGCCAGAAGAACAAATCTGTGTTGGAAGAAGTACAATCAGAATGCGCTTTAGAAACCAAGATGGCCAGACATCGTCTCGCATATTTTGGCTGTGTTATCAAGCAGGACCACTTCCTAGAGAAGGACATCATGTTTGGTTGAGTGGACAGACAGTATAAAAAAGGGTGACCCCCAATGAGATGGAGTGGCAACAACAGTGGGCTCAGGTGTAGCAGCCATTGTGAGGATGGTGCGGTACAGGGTGGTGTTTCATTCCATTGGACACAGGGTTGTTATGGGTTCAAACTAACTCAAAGGCATCTAACAATAAACACCAACATCTGCTAGTCAGAGATAAGGTAAGACTCTATCATTGTAAAGAACCAACTTGCTACTGTCCTTGGATGACTCTGACCCAGAGACTTCCCCTGCCCCTTACTGTGGAAGGATAGACCCTAGGACCAAAGTAGTTTCCTTCTCACTGTTTCCCAGTCTCGGGAAACTTCCTTGTCTCTTCCCCTCTTGTGTGGCACTGTGGGATACCTGCATGGTCGACAGTTCAAACCCACCAGTCACTCCTCGGAAACTCTATACAGGGCCTCTCTGAGTCAGAACTCACTTGACGACACCAAACAAAAACAACATATATAAAAGCAGAAATCCTGATGTGGTGCTGTAGGATAAGAACTGGACTGCTAACAAGGTTAGCCGTTCAAACCAGCCAGCTATTCCTCGTAAACCATACATTGGGTTGCTATGAGTTAGAACCAACTCAACAACACACAACCAACCAACCTTCCTCTCTTTGTGGCTCCCTGCAACACTTGTCTCTGGAAGACCTCCTGCTGTGCGGTCACCCACTGGGTGGGCTGTCGATACCTCAGCTCTACACTACTGATTTGTCTTGGCCACAGTTCTGTTCTTGGTCAACCTTGAACTCCCTCAGGCTCACCATAGTGCTTGGCATAGTTGGAAGACAGGCACGTAAGGCTTATAATGGATGTGGGTAAGGTGGCTCTCTCCACCTCCTACGTATACCAAATAGGCTCTATTACGGCCAACAAATTGGCTCATGAAAGTCCAGTGATTGTCCATAGTTAAGGAGAGGAAACTGAGGCCTAGAGGAATAAAGCTCATTAAACAATAGAACTTGTTTTGCTAAGTAGGCACAGAATCTCAGTCTCCCGAGCCAGTTTAAGGTGGTGGGTGTTGTGGATATGAATTTCACCTCATAACGACCCTATAGGAAAGTGTAGAACTGCCTCACAGGGTTTCCAACGCTGTCACCTTTATGGGGACAGATTTGCCAAGTCTTGCCTTCCATGGAGCTGCTACTGGGTTCGAACTACCAACCTTTCATTTCCCCGTTTCCATCAGCCTTACACACAGGCAGATCTGTTTGCTAATCACATCTTTCACACCCATCATGGAGATGAAATGTTTCATCCACCTCATTCTTAAAAAGTGACATTATAATTTGTTCCCTGTTTAAAAGTCAATCTCTTCCTTAGGAGAAGGAACCCAACGTCTATTGATTGATTAGAGACGATGTATCAGTTTCCCCATCACTCACAGACAGTGGGAGTCAGCAGAACATGGTGAAGCTAATTTTGACTAGAAGTACCAGAATTCAACAAGAGCAGTGCCCCTCCCCGCCAGGCGCACTGTGACGCTTCACCCATAAGAAGTCATGAAAGTGATGACTTGCCCTCAATCCTACTGGTGAATAGTGTCACACTGACTGCTCTTAGCATCTGTGGCATCGAAATGACGTGGTTCAAGCCACTTCCATGAGATGCTGCTGAGCTCCTTCTAATAGCGCCATTGTTGTTGTAAGTGCCGTTGAGTCAATTCCAACTCCTAACAATCATGTGTAGGGTCCCTGAGGAGTAGTTGATGTGTTTGAACCAACAGCCTTCTAGCTGTCAGTCCAGTGCTTATCCTACAGCATCACACCAGAACTTCACTACATGTGGAAGGGTTGTTGTTGTTGTTGTTGAATGTCATCAAGCCAGTTTCAACTCACAGCAACCCTGTGTAGGGTTTCTAAAGAGCAGCTGGTGGATTTGAATCATGAACCTTGTGGTTAACAGTCCAGTACTTATCCTTAAGTTCCACACTGGGACACCACCAGATATATATGTGCCTGGTGTGGCCCTGGACTGCCAACCACAAAGTTGATGGTTCAAACCTACCAGATGCTTCTCAGAATCCCTACACATACATGAGTAGGAATCGACTCAATGGTAGTAGATTTTTTTTTTTTTTTTCACCCAAGCAACAGTATTTTTAACTGCCTAATATTATGAGCTAGAGTCCTGATGTGGTTCTGTGGGTTAATGCACTAGACTGCAATGTCAGTTTGAACTGCAAGGTCAAGCTCATAGCTGCTCCTCAGAAATCCTACACAGGGTCACTATGAATAGGAATTGACTCAACGGTACTTAGCAACCACAGCCACAACGACAACCTTATGAACAACAACATTATGAACAACAACGTTATGAGTCAAACCAACTTGGCAGCACTTAGCAATATGCATATGAAAGCTAGATATTGGACAAAAAAGACTGAAGGAGATCCGATGCCTTTGAATTATGGTGTTGGTGAAGAATACTGAATAGACTTTGGAATGCCAGAGGAACAAACAATTCTGTCTTAGAAGAAGTACATACAGCCAGAATGTTCCTTAGAAGCAAGGAAGGATAGACTTTGTCTCTCATACTTTGGACATGTTATGAGGAGGCTCCATACCTGGTGAAGAAGAGCCTCAACCAAAAAGAGGAATATCCTCAATGAGATGGAATGATGCAGTGACCACCAGGATGGGCTTGAACACAAGTATTGTGAGGCTAATGCAGGGCTGGACAGTGTTGTACATGGGGTAGGGTCACTATGACAATGGAACCCATCAGACTGCAACTAACAACCACCACTACCGAAGAACACCATAATTGATTCTGATAAAAGATGTTAAGCGACATATGAGGCTACAATACAACAAAGGGACAAAAAACAGCAATTCGGATGAGGGGCGATCGAAAAATTTGGAAATGGCTAATATCAAGACTGAACATCATGAACATAATTTATGTCATTGAGTTCTACACATGAAGAACCTTTAAGTAGTAGATGTTTTGTTACAGATATATTTTACTGCAATAAAAAGATAAAAAAGGAAGTTGGAATCCATCAGAATCTAAGGCACCCCTCTTTCTTTGCGGCTTGCCTTGCATGTACATGACCAGTACCCTCAACTCGGCTTTCTTGATGTGCTTTCACCCCATCATGCCAGGGCTTTATCACCATGTGTCTCAACACACAGAGTCTTCTGTTGGCTCAAGACATGTTTCTAAACTAACAGAATGAAATCAACCTTGGGTGCCACTAGCTGCCTCATCTATTTGACCAGATCCCAAAAAAAGCAACTTTTACACCAGTATTCTCCGCCTGGTGCTCAACAGATGATGGCTATGTGGAAAGGAAATAGCACTTCTACCAAATGTTGTGTTTTTTGTTTTTTTTCTAAGTGCCTTGCATATCTGGATGCCATACTTAATCCTACCAGCCCTTGAACACATCACCCCACATTCTACAAGGGTGTTTTATGTAAGCACGACAACATGAACAGATTAGTTACAAGGAAACAAAAGGCCTCCCTTCAATAAAATGAAGTTTGAGCTTAACAGGGCTGCCGAATGCAATTTGGTATTGAAATACAGTTTTTCCCCATTTCAAAGCATGTAGAAGCATGCAGCTTGTTAGATTTATATAATGCCTGGTCTCCCAAGACTTACAAAGGGAATGGCATCCATCACATTAATTTCCTTGGGGATTGTCTCAAACACGAAGAATGAAAAGCCCCAAACCATTAAACATCAAACGCATGATCTAAATGCTAATTAAAGTTCTATTATATTTTCTTTTTTCTGGGAACAGATTAGTTTAATTCAATTGAGGATATTAGATGTAGTCAAGCTGACAACGCGAATGTGTCGAGTCTGCTAGAAGAGCATTTAATATTGCAGACATCTGTTCATTCAAGTTGCATACAAAACACACAGAGGAGGGAGTCCGGTTCCAGCGAGGCATACTTACCAAGCCGGCGCATGTAGACACCGCCACCGAGGAGGCGCTGTGGTTTCTGATAAATCCCTGATAGAAACATCGCTGCAGGGCAGGTTCCTGGTTCTCTGAAGCATCATCTTTTCCAAGTACCTGGACAGTAAAGTGACTGCTCAAAATCGCTGAAGGTTTCAGGTCTAAGTGTAGCTCCTGTCCAAATGCTGAAAATCGGTAATGCAGGGAGCTCCTAGCACTCTGGGCCGAGCGTCTCTTCCTGCCGCTGTGCAAAATGTCGTGGGAAATATACGACCCGCTGGCGTCCACTTCCACCGGTGTGACAAAGACATAATCTGCAATGGGAAAAGTTGGCCTGTCAACACCCACACCCAACAAGGCCCAATGGTTGCTTTCCAACAGGCAAACAGCAATGAAATGCTCCAAGATATCTTTGTGCTTGTGGCCCTCTCCAAGGAAATTAAATATATTTCAGAGTCTCAGCTAGCTCTGCAAGTAGCTCTACATTCCTTCCCCTTGGTAGGTTGCTAACCGAAAGGTTGGCAGTTCAAACCCACCAGCCACTCCTTGGAAACTCTATGGGATTCCTACTGAAACTGAAAGACAGGCAGAGTTTTCATGAATTTCAAGACTGATGATGAAAAGGGACATGGTTGTCCCTGTTTAGGTGACTTTGCATGGTAAAAGTGGAGGGTCAATGAAAATGAGATGAAACCATGGCAACAACTAGCTGAAATACAACAACAATTGTGAACATGGTACAGGACCAGGTAGTGTTGTGTTGTGTTGTACACGGGGTCACTACAAATCAGCACCGACTCCCCCAGCACTTAACAACACCACCCAACTTTACACTTACTAGTCGCGGAGCCATCCATACATGATGGTTGAATGTTTTTCTACAAAATTCATAAATATAAAACTGTAAAAGTATATCAATGGAATTCTTCTTCAAGGAGAATAACAGATTCAACTCTTCTTGTTTAAACTGAATTGGGATGGGTTTTTGCTTGCATGTGTGTTTTTTAGCAGTATAAACTGCAAAGGCTAACTTGCAGCTTTGGTTCATAAAGTAAGATGATAGCTCAGGTAATTAACAAGTAATAAGGAGTCCTGGTGTGGCACTGTGGGCTAATGCATCAGACTGCAAAGCTGTCTGAACTGCAAGGTTGGCGGTTCAAGCTCACCAGCTGCTCCTTGGAAACCCTACACAGAGTTGCTATGGGTCGAAATCCACTTGACGGCACTTAACAACAGCAACAACAGGGCTGTATTGGGAGTTCTGAGTTCTGGTGTGGTTCTGAGAGTTAATGCGCTGGACTGCAAGACTAGTTTAAAACACAGTGTCAGTGGTTCAAGCTCAGCAACCACTCCTCGGAAACCCTATACAGGGTCGCTATGAGTCCGAACCTAAACGCCGGCACTTAACAACAACAATGACTTTGGGAGTCCTGGTGTGGCACTGTGGGCTAATGTGCCGGACTGCAAGGTCGGTCTGAACCACAAGCTCCTCAGAAACCCTATGCAGGGTCGCTATGGGTCAGAACTAACTGGATAGCACTTAACAACACAACAGCATTTACAATATTATTTATACAGGGTAATAAAACTCCAGCACGTGTTCCATTCTTACTATTTTACCAAGCACTCTCCTAAGGGTTGCTTGGTTATGTGCCGTGGAGTCGGTTCCGACTCACAGTGACCCTGTACAGGGTTTCCAAGCCTATAAATCTTTATGGGACCAGAAAGCCTCATCTTTCTCCCGTGGAAGAGCTGGTAGTTTCGAACTGCTGTCCGTAAGGTTCGCAGCCTGATTTGTAACCACTACACTACCAGAGCTCCTTCTCCTAAGGGTGGTTCTATTCAATTGTAAGCATAAAATATTGTACATGCATAAAAATGCCTTGACGTGGTCAGAACTTTCCTATGTCGGCTGATTTTACTAATTGTTCAAACATGTTGGTGGGGGAGTGTCACACCAGGTACACCTGGAAAAGCCCAAGCCAAACTTACACTAAACTCCCTGCAGTCAAGCAGATTCCAACACATAGCAGTCCAGGAGAATAGGGGAGAATTCCCTCATCATTTCTAAGGCTGTAATCTTAACATGAGTCAACTGGGTTTGAACCACCAAACTTTAAGGCTTTAACCACTGCACCAAGAGCAGGGCTAATGGCTTCATGTTCTACAGAGACAAAGCTAGAAAACAACTTCTTGTTTGAAAACCGAAGCCAGAACCCTGTTTCTTTCACAAAACATTGAAACGGAATCATATCAACCCACAAACGGATCTGAAAGATACCCACAGAGGAGCGTTTAAAACATTCTGCATTTCTACTTTCTAGGCACAGAATGGGAAACTAATTTGGAAAGTGTTTCAAAAGATTCCCCAAAACTAAGAGGTATGTTTGAGTCACTTGGATCCTTGATTACTGGAGGAGAAAAAGAGGAATTTTCCTTTTCCCAAAATAGTTTTGTTGTTTTTTAAAAAAAAAACAACAAATAAAAAGACCTAAGGAATGAACAGAAGTCTTGCCCCAAGCAAGGATCGATGAGTGATAGATACTTTAATCAGCCCCATATTTGACTGAAAAAACAAAGAAAAATGCAATAGCACAATAATTTCCAACTTTTTCTCTGGGTAGGAACCATCTGGGACCCTTTTACTGTTGCTCAGTTCTCTTTTTTATTCTTTATGTTTTTTGTTGTTGGTAAATGCCATTGAGCCAGTTCTGACTTAATAGCCACCCTGTATAGGGTTTACGAGGAGCACCTGGTGGGTTCGTACTTCCAACCTTGTGGTATATATCTTAGTGACGTTTAAAAAAGATGAAGTCCTAGTGCGGTGCTGTAGGAAAAGCACTGGACTGATAACTGCAAGGTTAGCAGTTCAAACCCACCAGCTGCTCCTCAGAACCCTATACAGCAGGGGTGGGGAACTGTTTTCTGCCAAAATTTATAACATCATTCACGGGCCATATAAAATTATCAACTTAAAAAACAGCCTGCTATCTTTGGCCAAACATTTCATTTGACCCACCCCTAATGTGGTAGCAAAGGAGCTCTGGTAACATAGTAGTTACCAATTGGGCTGCTAACCTCAAGGCCAGCAGTTGGAAACTATCAGCTGTTTCATGGTTGAAAGAGGAGGCTTTCTGCTCCTGTAAAGATTTACAGTCTTGGAAATCCTGTACAGGGTCACTATGAGTCAGAACCGACTCCACGGCATACAACCACCACCACCACCACCAATGTGACAACATCTATGTGATGGAGTGGTGCTATAGGTTCAGGATGGAACTGTGAACCACAAAGATGTGGTTCAAGCCCACCCGCTGCTCCTCAGAAACCCTACACAGGGTCAGTATGAGTCGGAATCGATTCAACAGCACTTAACAACAACAAGGTGATGGTTGGAACAGGAGTAGCTTTGGCAGGGCCAGACCAAAGGATCTCACGGACCTTATAATAGAGTCCTATGTGGTGCCAAAGGATAAACACTCAATCTCAAGGTCGGTTTGAACAGCAGGGTCAGCAGTTCAAACTCACCAGCCACTCCTCAGAAACCCTATACAACAGGGTCACTATGAGTTCAAACCAACTCAACGGTACTTAACAAAACCATATGGCCCACGGGCTGATGTTTCCCACCCCTGCCATACAGGGTTGGTATGAGTCTGACAGACTCTAAGGCACTTAATAACAATGACAGAAAAGATGGGGAAGAAAGTGCTGGTGACATGTCAGCTCCTTCGCACTTCACAGGAGGGGAAGGGCTGGCATTTCTCATTTTCTCACTAGAAATAGTATATAACTGATACAAATTATTTTTTTAAGTAATTGAAAAGAGAGGGGTTTTTTTTTGTTTGTTTCTTTTCCTTAGTTGAGAATATACAGCATTTAAATATCTTAAATATTTCTAATACGCTGCCTTACAGGTAAATGGTTTTTGATTAAACACAATTTACCAATCTCTCCTCCCAGTGGATTGCTAATTGATAGGATGGTAGTTCAAACCCACCAGCCACTCCTTGGAAACTCTATTCATGATCACTGGACACACTTAACAGACAACAACACCCCACCCCTTTCTCACACACACCCAAACAAACACCTAATTGAATGTTTGAATCTCTGGAATCAACTGTCTCTTACCTCCTCTGCAGAATCATTTCTGAAACTCTGCCTGCTCTTAGCTGGGAAGCTAAGCAGGAGCCTTGGCCAGCCAGCCAGCAAAGTCCCCCAGACACTTGCTACAGATTTGTTTCCAAAGGGAGAATAAGCAAGCTGCTGGTTACATTCAGTCACTGATAGAAGAACAGATGACCAGTGCTCCCAGCCAGCCAGCAATGAACTGATCAAGTGATTCAAAGGCTGCTTACAGATGAACTCCTCATAGGGGGTGCTCGGGACATTTGGAATAATGAAAGGCTGTTTTAGAAACTATAACCTTTCTGGTTGGACAAAAGGTGACTTTCTCCCCAAGAGAGAATTCTGCTCCTCCCCTGCCCTTCACTGCCCAATAGCTGGCATAGCCTTTCTCCACAACTCCATCCCCGCCCCCCAGGTTTGGAGGGGGAGAGAGAGAATTCTACAAGGGAAGAGAGGAAAGAGTACAAAGAATCCAAGGTCCTACTAGTCACCTGAGGTCAGGGATCAGAGGTTCTCCAGTAGCCGGTGGAAACAATGAAAACAAGGGTTTTCTTTCTCAGTAAGGTGGGGAGTTAATAAATGATAGACGTGAAGGCTGTTTCAGAGGTCTGTGCCCAGGGGACCCAAGAAGAAATAGAAAAGGCGAACTGCTTTCCAGCTTTCTGGTAGAGCAATGTTTGAGAATTCCTCACACAGGGTGGATAAATTAGGAGGAAGAAGCTGAATAGAGCCAAAAAGGAGAGTGCAGTTTACAAACCTTGGGGAAGAAGGTGCTGGGGACCTTTCCGTTCTTGCGGACTTTCCACCCTCCTCCTGCCCCTGCCCCGTCCAAGTCTATTTCCTTTGTAAAGTTTCACAGAGTAAGGTTTTTTTTTGTTTTTTTTTTTTACCCCTGAAACAATCCATCTGTGAAGGGCGAAAGTATTGTTTTGTCAATTATGTGACTTGTAGCTTGAGGCAATGATTCTGCTGATAAGCCTGGAGACCTTGCCACACTCCCCCCTCTCCAAGCAGGAACCATTTCAGGGACGCTCACACACCTGCCAGAGTGGGAGAGGCGGGGGAAGGGAGGGAGGGACAGGACGGCTTTTCTATCCTTTCTGTCTTTTATGAAGAAGGAATAAAATGCCTGCAAAGGCACTTCTGGGGTGGCGGGGAATACGAACCATCATTTAATCCGCTGCCGCTGCTGTCACTGGCTAAAGCCGTGGCGACCGATGCACAGCAGAGGCAGCACAGCTGGAGCGCCTGAAAGAGAAAACGGGATGAAGTGTGAGGGGTTCGGCGAACTGGTGTCCCCTGGCCCCACTCTCGGCGCAGCCCTAGGCGGCACCTGCCTTGGCTAAACGCTCCTGTCTCCAGAGGCCCCGCGGTGGCCCAGAGCCGGCGGCCCTGAGGGCGCACGCCAATAGAAGGGCGCACTCCATGCTTAGGTGCGGGCGTGGAGGCTGTGGGCGTCCGGGCGCAGCGGGCGGAGCGCACGGGCAGCGCGCATTCTCCCCGCGGGCCCGTGGCTCAGAGCGCGGTTCCCAGGTGCGGCGCCAGGTGGGAGCCGCCGCCGCCGCTCACATGGCGGGCAGGAACGCCGGGGCCTCCCTTTCTTGGGCCGCTACGCCCCCTCCTTGCGGCCGGCTTGGGCCGGCGGAGCTGCAGACTGAGGTTCCCGGAGGGTACAGGGGACTCCTTGGGCTGGGGCTGGCGTGCGCCTCGAAGCGCAGACAGCTGGGAGACCCTGTCTGTGCCTGCCCGTCTGAGCCTGCCCGTCTGTGCGTCTGTCTGTGGCTGTGGGAGCTTCTAGGACTCCGGGAGAAGGCTGCGCCAGCTGGCTCCCCCAGCTCGCCGAAGCTGAGCGCCCGCCTCTCCACCGCACAGTGATTGGTAACTCCCGGGCTTGTCCGAGCCCTGAGGCTTGTGCTAGGGCGTGGGATTCCGGGCTCCTGTTCCAAAGGAGGGGGCAAAGGGGGCGGGGAAGCTGGGTGGGAGTGAGGGGGAGGGAGGGACCGACTGCAGAGAGAGGGAGGGGAGCGCCCTGAGTAAGGCTTGCAAAACGTAATTTAAGCGCAAGGAGGATGAGCTGAGAAGGGGGAGGCCCAGGTAAAGGGTGCAATTTCTCCTTTACAGGTCTCCTGGAGACAGAACCAAGACCGTATTTCCAACACCTCCTAAGTGCCAGGTGCACCCCCTGCTTCCTATCATGCACCCCAAGTCCTATCTTTGTGGCGATTGTTAGCCACTTGATAGAAAAGAGAAAACAGAGCCTCACGCGGGCTCAAAATACCCCAGGGCTACCCAGTGAACCAGCTAGTCACTCCCATTCTAGGGCAGCCAGGGAAGCTGAAACAATGAGTCTGGTCCTGTCTGCATGATGTGAAAGCACATGGCCTGCAGTGGTCTCACCTCTTCTCCTGCATCATGCTCTCTAAGTGAGGATGCTTCCAACTCCTCAGGACTGAGTTCTGGCCCCAGGCACCAAACCTGCAGCATTCAGCCATACCAGTGTTCCCAAAATCGCCATGAATGTGTATCTAATTTTCAGTGTGCCTGTTCACTTATTCAACACATTTGTTTGACCTTTGAATCCCTACTGTTTGCCTTCTCCCGGCACTAGGCAGCGGGAAAGACTTAGTGGAAAACTCGAGGACAGTAACAATAAAAGGATCACAAATGCTATAAAAGGAAAAAGAATGGGCTCCTAGAGTGGAAAGAATAACAGCAGAGCCTAATTTTGACGGAGGGGTGGTGGTAGTGGAGGTGGTGATGATGGTGGTGGAGGTGGTGATGATGGTGGTAGTGGTGATGGTGGTGGAGGTAGTGGTGGAGGTGGTGGAGATGGTGGTGGAGGTGGTGGAGATGGTGGTAGTGGTGATGGTGGATGGAGGTGGTGGAGATGGTGGTAGTGGTGATGGTGGTGGAGGTGGTGGAGATGGTGGTGGAGATGGTCGTGGAGGTGGTGGAGATGGTGGTGGTAGAGGTAGTGGTGATGGTGGTGGAGGTAGTGGTGGAGGTGGTGGTGGTGGTGGTGGTAATTATGGTGGTGATGGAGGTGGTGGTGATAATGGTGGAGGTGGTGGTGGTGATGTGTATGTATCTGTACATGCATGCTCTCAGGAGCTGACATTTAAAACCAGCCTGAAGGGCTACAAAGGATCGGGTCTGTTTTATAAGAGGATGGGGGCGTGGAGGAATGGGGCTCTTGCATGTTCAGCAGAAGACAGAGCACAATTCTTGAAGTAAAAGTGTTCCACATGATGGAAGAGTTGAGTGTAGGTCCCAGGGAGGGGTGGAAACATTGGGTGGCCAGGTCAGCAGGACTCTGCCTGCTGCAGTGAAGCATGTTGGGAAACTGTCACAGAGATTTAATGACATGGATCACATGAGGAAATGGATGGAGGGTGCTGAGACAAGGCCAGCAAGGAACAAGTTAGAAAGATCTGGAATCCGGGTAATGACAGTGTCTTGGACCAGGCAGTGACAGTGGAGGTGAAGCATGACTTCACTCAGCCTTAGGGCTTCTGTTGTCCATGTCATAGCCTAAACCAGATGACAGCGCAACATTTATAGATGGTTTTCCTGATTGTTTTAAGACATTTTATGATGAATTGAGTGAAGGTTTACAAAGCAGATCATCAGTTTTATATTCAAATCATATACTCTGCTTCATTTTAGTGATTGCTGTCCCCTCCAGGCACCATCAGTAGCCCCACTTCCTCTTTGAGATTCTTCTTCGTCAACCCTGTCAACATTTTATCCTGAGGTAAATGTTCCCCATTCGATCTTGAATGATTACCATTCTATGGCGTGTGCACCTCACTACGGTTGGTGCCCTCTCTAGACCTATTTACTGTTGTTGTTGTTGTGAAATGCCATTGAGTCAGTTCTGACTCACAGCAACCCTGAACAGGGTTTCCGAGGAGCAACTGCTCGGTTTGAAATGTTGACCTTGTGGTTCAACATCCAGTGCTGATCCTACAGTGCCACACCATGAGTCCTCCTTGGCTGAAAATTGAGCCAAGTTCAATTCCAGCCTGAAGGGTCATCAAGGGCCATTGTCTCGAGTTAATCCAGTCTCTTTCTGACCATTAAGCCTGGTCTTTTTTTTTTTTTTAACGATTTTAAGTGTTAGTCCACATTTTCTCCCACTTTATCCAGGGCCTTCTAATGTAATCCATTTCATAATAGTTTGGTAGTGGTAGCTAGGCACCATTTAGCTCTTCTGGTCTCAGGATCATGGAGACTGAAATTCACACGCTCCATAGTCTATTGGACTAATTGATTCCAAGCAGCTGCAATTTTCACCACTCTTCGTTCCTCCGCACAGGTAGAGACCAATAGTTGCACTTTGGATGGCTGCTCATGAGCTTTTAAGCTTATAGTTGCTACTCACCAAGGAAGAATGAGTTAGTGACCTAGGCTACGCCAATGGACCATGGTGTCCCCCAAGACTATGGCCCTGAGCCTCCCAAACCCAGCAACTCATTTCCTCCAGGAGTTTGGTGATGTCTAAGAAGTTTTCATCATTTTGCCTCCTGTATGCTGACCACAAAGGAGCCCTGGGTCTATAGTGGGTTATGAGTTGAACCACAAGGTCAGTCAGCAGTTTGAATGTACCAGTCCCTCTATGGGAGAAAGATAAGACTTTCTTTTCTGTAAAGATTTACTACTTCGGAAACCCTACGAATCGGAACTGACTCTAGAACATACCACCACCAACACCACCATGCTCACCACATTCATGGATATGTTTGCAGCAAAGGTAGATACTCAAGTACAAAGATCCTGTATTTATGGGATCTCTCCATCCTCTCTCTCACACCCATTCAACCTGTGTTCTCTTGAATGCAACAGAGAACCAGTAACCCAGGACAGTGGAACCAGAGAAGTTGACACAAGTTACCACCTAGAGGGGTCAGGAAAGGCCTCCCAGGGAGAAAAATCAGGTTTAAACAGGTCACTTGGGTTTCCCTGAAAAAAAAAAAAAAGGTTCCTTCCAGTTTATAATCTATAAAATAGGAATCATCATAATGTATAGAAGAATATCCTAAGACTTAAGTGAGTATATTATCAGAATACTTTCTGGGTGAGATGATACCCCATTTTCTGTCACATCATTTGCTCTTTGGCACAGCTTAATCTATATCAGTATCATCTGTGATGCTAAAAATCCAGATTCCTGGGCTCCTAGCATTGCTACTGAATTGTAGATATTCCGATTTAGTAGATTTGGTGTAGGGTCCAAATGTGTCCCCAGCATTCTCACCAAATCTAGATATATAGATTTGACATTTTTTCTCCACCAGCATGGAGACTTAGTCTCCCCCTTGATTGGACAAATAACTGTTAAGTGCCCATCCAGAGACCTCTTCTTAAAGCTCATGGAAGAGGCTAGCTCTCCCATTGGTTTTCCAGGTCTCTGCCATGCCCCAGCCAATCTCTGTACTCTGCAGATGCCAGTCTTCCACTGGTTTGATAAGAATGTTAAAAATGATTACCAACTACCAACAACACTGTCTACTCAGCTGGGTTGGATAATTCATTGCAATGACCACACAGGACTCAGACACCAGACTCACAGTTGGGATTTATTAGGGAAGTTAACAGGTTACAGTGCAAGGTCAGAAATGCTTAGGGCCCAGTTATTCCAGTTAGGCCAGACGCTCCTCAGTCATGCCCATAGGCAGGCCTCTCTGTGCCTAGGTGGTGGTGTTCAGTGCCGTAGCGTTGGTTCAGACTCGTAGTGACCCTGTATCGGTTTCCAAGGAGAGGCTGGTGGGTTTGAACTGCTGATTTTGCGGTCTTGCAGTCTAGTGCATTATCCTGCAATACCACACCAGGACTCCTCTTTTTGCCTAGCAGTGTTCAAAAGCTCTTTGTGGGCTGCTGATAAATGCTCCCAGGACATGCCACTCCAACATAAGCCTCAGCCTGAAGGCTCTCACTCCATGGGTCAGCAAACCTAGCCTCCCCAGTTAAGTGTCTGCAGTCACCTCACCCCACGCTGTGAGCAAGCCTCCTGTACAAAGTCACTCCTCTTTACTTGTTCCATGGACCAGGAAGCCCATTGTTCTGTCTCCTGCTCTGGCTCTTGGTTCTGCTGCTGCTGCTCCTATGCCCCTCCTTATGTGTCACAGCTCTCTGTCCCCGCATCAAGGAGGGTCAGTTTGCAAGGATCTTGGGGTCCAAAGAATGCACTTCACTCCTGGTTCTTGCTCTTCAATGGTAGCAGATTCCCCATTCCTGCTTCTGAGATGTCACATTTTGTACCCACGCTAGAGTTTCAAGTGTTCACAATGACAATGAACTCTGCTAACAGCTACAGTGGAATCCTGTCATCACATCAGTATCTTCTCCCGCCATTTCTTACCCAGACTCTGCAGGAAGTGTCCTTGGGTGGGAGTTACAAAGACTAAGCCTAGAAGAGACATATTAA